AAAGAGGGAAATCTAGACATTTGGGGCAGTGCTGAAATGGCAGAGGGGTTGGTGTCTAGCGTGTAGGAGAGAGGTTGGTCCTAGGAACAGGGTGAAGGCAGAGGGCATGCGGACGAAGGAGCAAGTGCATGTTCCTGGCAGATGGTGTAAGGGTATTGGAACGAGCATCTTTGAGCTGAAGAGGAAATCACGTGTCCTGGTGGATGATATTATACATATGAATTATAAGTAAATTCACATGATCATTTTATAGTAAATACCAAATAGTGAAAAAAATTCCTGCATCCCATCTCTCTTTTCATACTCAAGGTCAGAAGTCATCCTCTTAGTATATGGAGAAATGTAGCTGTCCCCAGGATGCTGAGACCTCAGAGGGACCACAGGCGATACTACCATAACACAGGCCAAACCCAGGATATCTGGCCAATCCCACTTTTTAAACTCATTGGAATTTTTAAACCAAGGTATTCCTTCTGAGAGTGAATCTGGGATTCAGAAGCTATGATCTAACAGAAATTTGTCACTGGTCGAGGAATTCAGCAGGTTATCCAGGGGCGTCAATGGCGGACTTCCCTAATTCCCTGTCAGATCTGGTTTCTCTGGATTGCCATTTCCCATAACACACTTAGGAGTGATGAAAAGGGAGAGAAGGAAGTGAGGTTTTAAGCACATTGGCCTTGGCTCTGACATACAGTCATTTATTGGAGTATTCTCTCTGCCATATCTCCAAAGGAAAGAATTGTGACCGTACTTGCCTTCTATCAAGGGACTAATGTAATAATCAAGACTTGCTCTTTTCACTCCCAGAGTCAAATCTTCTCTGTGTATATTTTTTGGCTGTTTTTAAGGATTGATGGGTGTATGGAGGATTGTGGGGAGGGTTCAGGAAGAAGGTTGTCTGGATAGTACTGTTACTGGGGTACTTTTAGGACGGTGACTCAGGACTGAGTCTGTCATAGTAGAAGGGAAAGTGCTTGGAACAAATGTCCTGCCTTTGAATGGCGGCCTGATTCCTCTGCATCTCAGGACAGGGAAAGGGATTCCATCAGCAGCACGAGCAGTTGCTGTTGAGTCATCAGTCTGAGTCCAACCAGTAAAGCACTGTATGACATAATCTAGATATTGCATAATCTAATATACTCATATACCTCACCTTGGAGATTGGAGTGTGCCATAAAGGAACTGTTTAAAAATCATCTTCATGTTCTTTCCTGGATGTGGGAATCAATTAAGGGGGATAAAAACCCCACCTAATTGTAACTTCGTGCCTAACCTCCATTTGGGAATTTGAGAGGATTCCACAACATTCCTGCTGCTTTGTCAATCAGCCTCCTCAGCCATCTCTAGCTGCCTTAAACCCTTACAAAGGAAGACATAAGACAAGAGCCTAGAACTAAAAACAAAAGACCCCAGGAAGCCTGAGAGCCCCACTCTGCAGGACCTCCTCCATGCCTTAATTAATACTAGTCTGACTGCTTTCTAGTTTGAGCACCTAAGGGAGAGAAAATGAAAGCAGCGTTCTGCCTCTTTAAGGCTCTGCTGTCATCCCACTAAACAATCCTTGAGATTGAATTCGAAGGGTTTTCCTAAGATCAGATACTTCGGTGCAATTTGTTCTTCCTTCTATCTGGGTGTCATCATTCCCAAGCTTGGCTTTGCCATCTGAAAAGCAAAATCAATCGCAAGGCTAAGAGCCCAACAACTTAACTTTAATACATCTTGAGAGTACCGTTCATTAATTTTTATTGCACACGCCTACCCGAAGACTTTATGCTCTCAGTCTCCCTTGCCAGGAACACTCTGTTCCTGGATCTCTCCCGGTTAGCTCCTTTTGCATTTAGATGCTCTGCATCCAAAGGTCACCTCCTCTGGGAGGCTTCCCTGGTTATTTAAGACTAAGCAGCCCCTTCTCCCAGCACCGTTTGTCTTACTTACTATTCTACTGCGATAAAATATTATGATCAAAGCAACTTATCGAAGGGAAGGCTTATTTGGGATTATTGTCCCAGAAGGATAAGAGCCCATCACAGTCACCATCAGGCAAGCACAGCCAGCACAGAGGCACCGCAGCAGGCAGGCATGGCCACCGGGGCAGAAAGCTCAGAGGTCACATCTGAGCAAGCATGGAGCCAGGAGATGTAGCAAACTGGTAGTAGGGTGAGGCCACGGGATCTCAAAGCCAACCTGCGCAGTGACATACTTCTTCCAGCAAAACCACACCTTCTAAGCATCCCAAAATCCCACCATCAACTTGGGACCGAGTGTTCAAATGCCTGAGACTATGGGAGACATTTCTCACTTGGACCATTAAAGCTTTTGGCAATATGGTATTTTCTCAGAGCCCCCACCATGCTCTGAGCTCACCTTGTCCTGCTTCTAGGTCTATTTTTAGTACTGTCACTATCTTATATCCACAACATGAGTAAGCACATGTTGACTGTTCTCTGAGCGCCTCTCACCCGTCACCATATCTAATACATGAGATTAATCGTGACAGGCCATATTTATTAAGACCTTCCTCCCCGCCAGACGCTAAACTAAGCAAGCACATTAATTCACAGTTCAGGTCAGTGTCATCTCTTGCCGGGGACTACTGTGGTGACCCGCTAGCTGGCCCATCTTCCTCTACTGAAGTCCTCGAATAGTCCGCCACCCATATGGTCACCAGTGCTTTTCTGAAACTATAAATGGGGTTGTGTTGGGTGGGGATCAGCTGTCTACGGTGTTAATGTTTCCTGTCATCCTCAAGTCCTGCCACTGGCTTAAAAGATGCCCTGTGGCCAGCCTGCCTGCCCCCACCTCTTCTAGGTCTCTAACTACTCCCCCTGCCTTGTTTCTCTCTGGCCACAGGTTCCAAGTCATGCTCCCCCAGAGAGCCATCCAGACACATAGCTTCATCTCTCACTCTGGTTTTGGCTTATACGCCTTGTCTTTGTAGAGCCCTTTCCGGCTTCCTTTCTCCAAGCACTGCCTCAATCACACTTTGTTTGCTTGCTTGCTTTTCATTCAGCACTCTCCAGTGCTGTGTTCCCTTCATTCAGCAAATACTCATCAAATGATTGCTGAGTCTGGGCTGTGGTGTAGTCCTGGAGGCCTGGAGGTCAGTGAGATGGAAGCGCTAAGTTTAGATGGCACAGCCAGCAAGGTCTCTGTGAGAGAATGGACCTCCGTACAGATCCTGATGAGACGAAGGGAAAAACAACAGGAGCGACCAGAGGGAAGCTGGGTGTGATCAAACAAATGTCCTGTGTGGAGGCTCTGAGCAGGAATGAGGGGCTGTAGCTGCAGCAGTGAGCCAGCAGGACAGGGGGAGATGTGGCTGAGCAAAGGGCAGAGGCCTCACTGTGGAGTCCTGGAGAGCGCTGAAGCCCTCAGCCTGGCTGACTTTGGGGGCTGGTACTATCTGAAGTGACTTATAATTTATTTGGATCTCTCTGGCCCTTAGAGGGAAATGGACTTTAAATAGGGAGGGTCCCATTAGCCCAGGAAAACCCTGAGTGTCAGGAGGAGGGTGGTGAGATGCGTTGAACTCAGTTCTTTTTAAAATTGATTTTATGTACATGTGTATGAGAGTGTCAGATCCCCTAGAACAGGAGTCACAGACACTTGTGAGCTGCTATGTGGGTGCTGGGAATTGAACCCAGGACCTCTGGAAGAGCAGCCAGTGCTCTTAACCACTGAGCCATCTCTCCAGCCCCCAGAATATTTCTTCAAGGCAGTCTGGAGCTCTCTCACATTTCTGGGATCCACTAGTTTGAGGCTAGTTTGGTTTGACCCTGGGTGTGGTGGGAGGGATATCTAGACTCTCAGCTGGCAGTAGGCTAGAGCAGACTTGCTCACCTAACAGTGGCGGGGGTCTCAAGAACAAGACTAGAAATACTGAAACTTCTGGAAACTTCCATTTAAAACTAGCACAGTACATGCTCCTTTATACTGTTCAAAACGAGGTGCAACCATACCCTTCATTCCTGATGGAGGAGTGCAGAATCGTATTGCAAAGAATGTGTGTAAAGAGATCATTCATCAGAATCATCAATCACACAGATGAGAAGGACAGATAGGGTTTGGATGCAGGTGTATTCAGCCTATAGCCAGTGGCCCTCATAGCCTAGAATGACTATGTGTTGGGAGAGATTCTTTCCTGGGGAGACGGAAACAAGGTCTACTCTATCCATATAAGATTAAAACAACAAATCAAAATATAATTCCATCAAAGATAACCCAAGGAGCTAATGAGTTTTTTAAAGATGGGTTGCCCACTAGAGCATAGGCAACCCCAACACAGCAGAACTGGAAAGTCTTTGCTCAGCATGGATGGCGGCTTCCCCTTCTGTTAACGTTACTTAGCCTAGATACTCTAGCTCCTTCCTGAGACACCTCTGAGGCCATAGACATGCAGTTAGGACCTAATATCTGGGAGGAACAGCTGGAATCTCAGTTGAGGGCAAGCTCCTCCTCCTCTGGCAGCAACATTCACAGTCAATGAGCTTGACTTGATGGCACTGGTCTCTTGCAAGCAGGCACCAGTGATCCATGGGATAGGCTAGCCGTTTCACGCAGAAGACCACATTCTACAACACTGGTCTGCCTTCCAACACATTCTGAGACCATAGTGTCAGCTTGTAATGCCGGAAGTTTGGACACTCCTAGTAGAAGAAGGACATGAGGAACTAGCAGCAATCTTTGCATCTAAAGAAGACACTGCCTTGACTTTCATCATCCCCCAGCCCCCCTCACACACACCTCACCCCTCAACCATCAAAGACACCTGAACTCCAAGATCCTGTACTGCCTGATAGGTTTTGACATTTGACCTGCCCTTCCCTCTCAGCAAGAAGAACATCATCGAAAGCACACCTCTGCTTGTCCTGAGACATTTGTAGAGAAGTACAGTGTGTTGGTTTGCACAATGCCTGCCATAACTCCTATTTCTCCTTTTACAGTGAGCTTGATCCCACGCTGATGTTCCCACAACTAATGATTGTGCCCTCCCCTGGCAGGATTACGCCCACATGTTGACCTGTATCACAGAAAGAGAAAAGTTCATTGTGCCGGTCAAAGCTAGAGGGGCTCGAGCCATCCTAGACTTTCCTGATGAGCTGAACTTTTCCACTTGCCCTGTGAAATACAGCACCCAGAAGGTTCTGCTGGTCCGAAACATTGGCAACAAAGACTCCATGTTCCACCTCAAAACTCGCAGGTAAGCATTCCTGCAGTTCCTGTCTTTGATTGATTACAGCTAACTCTGGCTGGCACAAGTAATTTGCTTGAATAGCACTGGGTTGCGGGGGGTTGGGGGAGAGATGTTGCTTGTTACAGCTTCAGCTGGAAAGCTAGGAGACCTCGTTGATGTAGATAAGGCTGTCTCTTTATCCTGAACATTCCAGGTTTACTATCCATTTCTTACCAAATTTTACCTTCTTTAATACAGATAATAACCCTTGGGAATTTATAAGGATTAGTTTTTGACATAGGCTTTTTGAACAGAAAGTTTTTTGGCTGGGTTAGTTTGCTATTGATGATACATCAGATTATCATACATTCAGTGACTTTAAGCAATATAAATCAATAGTCCCACGCTGCTGTAGATAATCTCACGTTGCCATAGGTATCAGCAGACCATTAGCCTTTCTGGAGGCCTGTGAGGAGAACAGACCCCGTTAGCTCTTCATCTTCTACAGGGTTGTCCATACTCCTTGACTCATGATCCTCAATTTTTTCATCATCTCTGGACCAAATCTTCCTAAGGAAATTGAGACCAATCTTCCTAAAGAGTCCTCTACCAACTCCTCAAAACAAAGGCAAGGTCTGACTTTGAAAATTTTTTTCAAGGGTTGCAGGAAGTTTCACATTATGTGATTTAGTTCCACATAGCATATATTGCAAGGAGCATGGAATAGCCAAGTATCTGTCAAGTCACAGAACAGACTGCTTCTTAACTCTCTGTCCCAGAGAGAGAGAGAGAGAGAGAGAGAGAGAGAGAGAGAGAGAGAGAGAGA